TCTTTCTTTGCGCGTCCATCTTCGGATGGACACCTCCCAGTATCCTGGGCCGGACCTTTTGGTTCGGCCCTTTTTTATGCGAATTTAGCAAAAAAGCTTAATTTAAATTTTTGTAAATAGAAAGAGACCAAACTAAAAAAGGGAGGATTTTTTATAATGCAGGTGGGAAGATCGTTCTGCTTACCTCCATATAAAGTCATTAGACATATTTAAAGGCTGGTGTAATACAAACTCCTTTGACTTATTTTTTAGTTGTGTATACATTTTTTGATTCACCCCAATCATTTGGGTATTTAAACTTTTTTGGATTGAATTGAAAATTTAAAGGAGAACGGACTTCAATAACCTCTCTATTCGCAATAAAGCATTTTTACTTAGTCTATTTTTTTCATATTTTTTGTTTTTTTCGCATTCTGTAAATGCGTCTCTTCCTTCAGAAAGAAACAATCATACTCTTCAAACATTTGTTGTCGCCTTAGGAACCAATAAAGGGGATCAGCTTTTTAATCTTCGACAGGCTGTAAAGGAATTTAAAGCAGATCAAGATATCTCCCTTATCGCGACGTCACGTATTTATAGAACCCAAGCCATTCTATTACCGGGGTCTCTGGAGGAATGGAATATTCCTTTTTTGAACGCGGCGGTTAAAATTAAGACCTCTCTTTCTGAAGAGGAATTACTGGGACGTTTGAAGGCGATAGAGGTGCGCTTAGGACGGCCTCTTCAATATAATAAGTGGTCCCCTCGTGTGATTGACCTGGATATTTTATCGTGCGGTCAAAAGGTTCTTAAGTCAGAAATATTGACGATTCCTCACGCATTGCTCCTTGAAAGAAGTTTTGCTTTAGCGCCCCTTTTAGATGTGGCCCCGGAATGGAGACACCCAGAACATCCTGATACAGATTTAGAGCTCTTGCTGGAAAGATTAGATTTTGTTGAGCTGACCCCTTATCCTTTAGAAGGTACAAGGGTTATGGGAGTGATTAATCTAACACCTATCTCAATGTCTGGCCCGAACAAATCATTTACAGACGCTGAGTTGAGGGAAGAAATTGTGGCGATGGTCAATGATGGGGCAGAGATCATCGATGTGGGGGCAGAATCCACGCGCCCAGGCGCAGAACCGTTAACACCGGAAACAGAATGGCAACGCCTTCAACTCTTTTTACGAAATCTGAAGGGGATTTTGTCTGATTCCCGTTTGCTGATTCACCCTAAGATCAGTATTGATACTTATCACGCAGAAACAGTTCAAAAGTTGAAAGATTATGACATCGACATCATTAATGATGTTGCAGGAGTGGAGAAAGAAAAGATCATTTCTGTTCTTAAAGGAACAAAGAAAAAATATGTTTTGATGCACAATACAGGAAGGGCAGGGACAAACCACCTGACATGCTCTGATGGAAACATTGTTGATCACTTAATTTCTTGGTTTGAACAGAAAACGAGCGAGCTGATTGCCCTTGGATTAACTCGAGCTCAGATTATTATCGATCCTGGGGTCGGTTTTGGGAAAAAAAGAGGCCAAACAACCGAGATGGTTA